CCCCCCCCTTTTTTTTTCCGCCACCCTTAACCTTTTCTCAAAGATGGGATCTCAAGCTGATTTAGATGATTTTAGTTGAAAAGTCTCTTAAAAGCCATCTAGTGGAGAAGCAAAACCCCAGGGAAGCCAAAGGGCTCTTGTCCACCCTTACTCTGCAGCTAGAGGAAAGCTGCGACTCTGTCATCACCCCCTTCTTTGTAGGTGACAGGGTGCTCTGCACTCTGAGGCGATCAGTGGAGTAAATGTCGGTCTGGCTTCTCCATCTGGTCAATATTTTGATAGAATCTCTTTGTAATTTGATGGCGGGCATAGTACAGTTGACCTTTGAGCAACACAGGGGTTAGGGGTACAGACCACCCACGCAATTGAAAATCTATCTATAACTTATCTTTTTTTTNGGGGGGCAGCTGGCCTGTACAGCAGTCCAAACCCAGGACCTTGATATTACAAGCATCAGGCTCTCCCAAGTGAACTAACCGGCCAGCCCCACCTATATCTTCTGACTCCCCCAAAACTTATCTACTTTACTACTAATGGCATGCTAATAGCCCAGTGTTAGGTAGGCTACTTAACTGGCATTCATGAACCTAACAAAAGTTTTCCAGTATATTTATTGAAAAAAAATCTGCCTGCAAGTGGACCTGTGCATTTCAAACCCATGTTGTTCAAGGGTCAACTGTAGTTTTATTTTACTTTGAGAGAGAAGAATCTTATTTTAAAACCCTTGTATGTGAATTACCATCTTGTTTCTTTAGAATTTTGAAACAATGGCTTATACTAGCAGAGAAGACATTGTAGCAACCCAGAATTACTGTTTTAGAATGTAGTCATAATTATGAAACAAAACATGGGGGTCTTTTCTTAAAATTCCCAGTATGCTTACACTTTGTTTCCTAGATCCAACTGCTAAAATTTTTAAGAAATTTTTAACCTAACATTTCTGTCACCAACTTTTCTTTTCAAGTGTTTCTTTTGTCACTTAGTCTTTTGATTTTTCTGGGTTTGACATATTAAGTATTCTGTGAGATGACATGCAAGGGTATTTCAAAAAGTTTGTGGGAAAATAGAATTAAAAGATAATACAAATCTTTCCATGAATTTTTTGAAGTACCCTTTTATATGCTTTCTTTTGAAAGCTTATTCCCATGAATTAATGTAGCTGAGCTCCTTTATGTTAAGTACCTGGCACAAAATTCAGCAAGACCTAGAGCAGTAGTTGTATGTAAATGCTCATGAGTTTGTATCATTAATACAGTTGTTGATCCACCTCTGATTTGTGCAATATTGTGTGTATGTAGAGAC